GAAAAAAAAAAAAAAAACAACGATAGGGGGTCCATTATTTTTCTCCCCCCCCCCTAATATGGACCCCCCCACTTTTAATTTTTTTGGTTTTATTTCAATGCGGGGGCATGGGGCCTGGGGTGCGCCCCTGGAATCCCGACCCCGACCACCAGTACCCCCTCCCCCCGGGCCCGCCGCGAGCCTTTTTCAACCGCGGCCAAGGCGGTCATGACCGCGAGCTCGCGGTCATGCCCGTGGTGACCGCGGCCTACGGGGATACATAGCCGTCCACTACCTTGGCAGGCTCCTCTCTCTCTGTCCTATTGGCCCCACCCCATGACTCGCTTCCTTCATCTTCGTTCCGACCAGATCAACTTCCAACATCAGGTACCTATTGAGGCTCCTCCTCCTCCTCGCGGGCGATCTCCGGTACAATCTCTGGCCCCAACTCTGCAGCAAGCGCCTGGGGTGGCGTGTCCTCTCCAACCTCTACCACCTCCTCCATAGCACCTCTCTCGGCACTCTGCCTTATCTCCCACTCAGGCTCATGGATCTCCTCTTGTAGCATATCTCTAGTCGGCTCGTCATGCCCCTCACCCGCCTGAGGCACTCTCCACTGTGACATATCCAAGTGCGCCTTCAACTCCTGCAATGACCCTCCAGATGGCGCCACCTCCTCTCCCGCGTACTGGTGAGACCTGCCTAACTCCGTTCCAATAAAGCGCTGGAAGACCACCGGGCCTATCTCACATTCGGGGTATGCCCCTCGCTCCTCAGCCTCAGGTACTGACTCCTCCTCTCGCCTAGCGAGTGCCTTTCATCCTCCTTGCGATGACATGGTCTCTCTGGGCTCTGGGTCCCTTTGCCTCTTACTCCTCTGGCGTCTCTCAACTTTAGGCTGAGGCGGCTCTGGTCGCTGAAAGGCATCCCTCAAGTGTGCCCTGCAACTCTCCCAGTCTCGAGCCATGTCTTTGATTTGCCTGGCCAAGGGGCTTTCCGCCTTTCTGGTCTATAGGGGTAACGTCCGCGCCCACTCATCCCTCAATACGCGCTGATCGTGCATGAACTGCTCGAAAGCGGGGATGAAGTCCTCCACATTCCCAATCTCCAGGCGAATTGGCCTGCCATCTGGCCCCACAGGCGATGGTCGTAACTCCTGCATCCTCATCTCCACCTCCAGCCAAGTCCTTGGCTCCCTACAAATCCTCGCGATGGGCTCCTCAAACCTATCAGCTCCTCTTAGCCTCTCAATCGTCTGAGTCATTGTCCATCCCATATGGTCCGCATGTCCTCGGAAGTCATCCAAAAAGAGCTCTATATCCCCGTCATCATATACGGGCGTGTGCTCCCTGTGGCGAGACTCATGCCGCTCATAACCTCCCGATGCCCCCAATGGCCTCCATGGCGGCCGCGTCCCCCTCCCTCCTCTTGGCATGGTTGTCTTCGCAAAGTCAGACCTGCACAACAGGCGAAGGAGACGATAGACACACATCGGGGTAAGCAAACAAGTGGAAATAAAGCAGGCTCGGGTCAGACCAAGCACATCCATCAAACACACTTATCCAACCTACACATCCTATCATAATTTTCCTTTCTCATGTCTTATCTATGACTCTTTCCTACATATTTAGGATCCTACTTTAAAGAAGTTGGATTGTCTATCTTACCTCCTCTCTTGCCACAAACTTCTTCAGTCTCGTTCCCGATACCCAATCCTTCCATTCTGACTCATCCAGCTCCTCAATCTGGTAGGCGCCGAAATCTCCACATCGCACAATCCGATAGGGTCCGATCCACCTTTTGTCTAGCTTCTTGGACCACTGTTTTTCCGGGGACGATTCATATAGTAGTACGACATCTCCAATTGTCAACGGTACCTTCCGTACTCGCGCCAACTGGTCCCAACGAACCTTATGATCCAGGCAACTTTTCTCTACTTGGTTGGACGCCTCCTGAATCCTTTCTTCTATCGCACCCACCTGCCGTGCTCAAATATCGAGCAATTCCTCAAAAGACAGGTCGGTCTCCAATTCCTGACGCCTCCAAGTCTTCAGGAAGCTCTCAATTGGAAAGGTGGCGTGTCTCCCGTACCATAGCGTGGCTGACACGTACTTAATGGTCCTCTTTACCATGATATTCTCGACAAAAAATGCCGCCCTTAGGTATCGTGGCCACTGATTAGGCCTACCTTCAGTCCACTTAGCCAGAAGATTCGTGATGGTGTTATGCCCTCTTTCAACTGGAGCATTCGCCTGGGGGTGCGCGACCGTGGTGTAATTAGCTACAACGGTGTACCTTGACAACAATTCTTGCACTTCCTGGCAGGTAAACTCCGACCCTCTATCCATCACGAACTCTCTGACAAAGTTATAGCGCAGGTAGTATTCCTCAATGCAGCTTACCAAGACCGATCTGGTTTTTGTACGAATGGTCCGTCCATCTACAAACCGTGTTGCCCCCAGCAGAGCCCCTCTCCTTTTCAGTTTTCCCTAGTTAGTCCATACACCAGTCAGCTGGCGATTAAGCCGAAGCTTTGGCCAACTCTATCTATAGCACGATCCTAGTTAGAAATTGGCCTCAGTACGGACTTTAATGTTTAGAGGCGATTAATCTAGTAACCCTACACCACATGTAGCCTGCACTACTGCGTCCCCGACTATTCTAACTAGGCACAGTTTGCCAACCTCCGGATCCCACCGGCACGCTCATTCTCAGGCCTCTCACAACGGGTTGGCAAGCTATAGATCAGACATCCACAGATGATTCCTTCAACTAGTTCCTTTCGCCTCCCGGGCTACTGCCCTGCCACTTCGCATGCACATTGAGCTCAGCCCGCGTTTTCGAGGCGGATAGGATAAAGGTAATCTCACCAGCTTTCAGAACATACCGAAACCCAGGCTGGCCCACCAAAAGAGGCGTGTGCTCAATGTCCTTGACTACCGTGACGCCCTCAAAACCCGTGCTTCGTCTGATTTAAGGACTAATGAAATAATAACAAAAAGATAATAAGCATATTTAGAAATTTCTAGCCATCAGAGGACAACTGATGAGAAGACAAAACGCCAGTACCGTTCCAACACTGTTGACGGCAAAACCAAGGGGAATAGTCCCGCCGGGCCCTCAACCCCGCGGTCCCTTCGCGCTTCTCGTGTCATCGCTGGCCAACCTGGATCCCTAAATCTTCTCTGATGAAAGTCTGATGTCGTAACCGCTAGTGCTAGGCCCAAGTCTTGGTCTAGCCCTGACGGACGCCTAAAATAAACCAATGTCGTGCGATGCGTGGACCTACCAAAACGATCTCAAAATCACATGGTTGTCGATGCCGTCCTTCGCACGTACGCATAGATCACAAGCGACCATACCAGTCATGGGACCAAATCTTTTCAATCCTGGTTTAATCAAAAATAAAAATTTTGACCAACGATCAAGCCGGCTCTTTGGTTATCAACAATAAAATGAGATCACGAGCGCCTTAAGTCTGCACGCCCACACACTCTCTACTCTTAGTCAACCATCCAGTCAACGTAAATCACAGACGCGGTCGCGCCCTCGTGGGGAATACTTAAATTTTTAAACAACCAGTCCCCCCGCCGCCGAAAAACCCTAGTCCTTGTGAGTTAGGGCCGGGTTGTACGGAGGGACGGTGACCGTACGGAGGCGCCGGGTTGTACGGAGCCGCCAGGTTGTACGGAGGCCGACGGGTTTAATCCCACCATTTTGCAAGCGGAAACTTTTCTGATTTTTTGTGCTCAGAAAAAATTATCAAAATGTCTGAAAAATTGAGGGTCCGTAGATGAGGTCGTGATCTTTTAGGGAAAAATATCAGAAAAAATAAATAAATTCATTTTGATGGTAAAATATTCACCGCGCCGATTTGGTTTATTTCTGATTTTTGTTGCAAATTCCGTACGGAGGCCCGCCCGGTTTTCCACGCTGTACTACCGGTACCCATCGTGAAACGGCGCTACCAGTACCCCCGAGGTTTCTGATGTCAGGGGTACCGGTGGTTTAAACCAAATTTATTTTCTGTCACTTGCAAAAACCAGGGGGGATACTCTTGTAAGGGTATTCGCACCTACACCCCAATTTTTCTTAGCCAAAGCCGGGTAATGGCCCCGGTATCTCAACTTTCAAAATTCTATGTAAATTTCCATATGGGACGCTGGGCCCGGTTCCCAGCACGTGCTGCTCCCCATGGAGAGATTGGAGCCTTGTTCCCATGAAAAAAAAAAAAAAAAAAAAGGGTGCAGCGGGAGCAGAGCGCAAGACAGGACGCAGCAATGCACGTGTGAGCACCGTGCAGTTACAGCCAAAAATTATGACGCGCCCAAATCCCTGGCCTAATTAAAATCCTAATTGCAAGAAGAAATTCCAAGAACTTGTGTAGGTTCAAAATTCAAAAAGAAATTCAAAAAAGATTCCCTGCGTGGCAATCGCGCCAAAAATTCCCCGCCCAGTTCCGTCATCAACAAAAAGAAAGAAAGAAAGAAGCTGCGTCACCCATTATTTTCCGCGCTCGCTATGGCGCGTCCTACCAACCGCCGTGGTCCCAACTTTTCCCGAAAGAACAGGGGCATTAGTGCAATTGGCCCGGCCCCTTCTTCTCCACCCTCCCCTCACCTCCAACCCCCTCAGCAGCTCATACAGAAAAGAGATTGTCACACCACAGCTCTGTCTGTAGCACTACCCCTGTTGGGTATTGGTCCCCGGGAGCTCTTTTTCCCTTTGCCGTGAACGACACCAGCGTATCCGATTGCTCGTGATACATAGGCGCAATTGATCCATTTACCCCTGAAGATCTCTGAGAGGCTGACAGAATGGTGCCCTGTACTGGTGGCTTAAACTTTAAATTGAAACTGACCAGCCCAGTGTGCAGAGCACGGATGCAGTGATGGAGATCTGGTGATATAAGGCGATCCCGGCACAGCAACAGATCTTCAGATCGGCACACATCCACACAGATGAAAGAAGCATGTGGGAGAGGATCAGGAGGCAATATCACCAGTATCTGTGATTGCAAGGTTGTGAACGACATTTGCAGCTAGAGATTGACAGATACGAGGAAGGCATGCGGAGTCATCAGCTGTGCTTTTATTTCATTGAGATTTGAAATTGTTCTTCCAAATACGAACCTAGGATTTTTTTAGCAGGCTGAGCCTACTGCCACAGGGGCAGGGTCCCACCTGTGTAGTTGGATTCCTCAATGATGGGTTAACTTTTCAATCACATGTGGCATCAGGGACAGAGGCCTGCGGTCGTAGATATGCTCGAAAATAGGTAGGGGAAGATTTACATCACGAATGTAATAAATTGGCTTACTGAAAGGGTATCAGAGCTTGCTCATATCACCCCCAATAGTAGTCCCCCAAGTGGCTGTTTTCTTTTTTGGGGGGGGTGGGGGAGAGGGTGTTTGCAAAACACCCCCATAAGCTGAGATAAATGCCAACATGCCCCTCGAAGGTGAGGTTAGAGCCGGATGCCCTTCTGGGCCGAACTCTTTGTGTTATGCCCCTGTCAGGCTGGAGTGCAAATTTGCAATCTGGACATTGCCGCTCGGGCCTGGGGCCTTTGAAAAGTTGGCGAGTAAGTTGGAGGGTACACTGGAGGGGTGTATTGCAAAGATGGGGTGTTCAACAGTGCCAGGGGTATTTCACACACAAAAAGGTTTGTTAGAGGGCATTCCACTCTATTCACATCTTTTAGGGGCATTTAGGCATGCATCTCAACTTACTATGGGTGTGTTTTGCCCATTATCTCTTTTTTTTTTTTTCTTTTTTCTTTTTTTTCTTTCCTTTTTTTTTAAAGGGTCCAGTGCCCAAGGCTCCAATTGCGAATTGGATTACAAGCTTATACCCACGCCTGTTCCCATTAGGACTGGAAGAGCCTCAGCCACTGCTCCCCTGGAGACAGCTTCCCTGCATAAAACCACTGTATCGTAATCACGGGGCATTGATGGCTTCCCCAGGCGGGGAAGGATTAACCCCATTGTGTGCAGAATCAAGCTCCGCCCTACCGTGAGAAGTGGGGGAAACTCGAATAAGGCAAAGAACTTGATTGCAGGGCGAGATAGTTTTGCAGTTTATTAGTAGTTATATTGAGCTTCCCCCTCCGATCGTAATTAACTACAAACCACTCAAGTGGAGGAAGGCCCTATTGCAGACAAATCCAAGGCAAAATACTCACGTAGCAGGGGAGCAAAACAACGACAAATACAACCCAGGCTGCCTCACACCACTGCACCTCCTACCCTGCTATGCGGTGAAAATCTATGTTTATAGGAAATTGAAAAAAGGGCAACTCACAATACGCACGTGACAGAACAGAAGTCATTCGCATAGGCATCGGTGCCAATCTTCCCCGCAGCTCCTTCCCTGCCACGTGACCGAATTACCCCCGTGGAAATACTAGAAATTGAAATCACGTATTCCCCATGGCATATCGCTGATCAACCACCTGGGCAAACCCTACCCGACCTGTAGCCCCGTGGCCAGCGTTGGATGGCAAAACAGACCAATCCCAAGCCACCCAGCCACCCAGTCACCCCGAAGGAGCGTGAGAAGACAAGCAAGAGGGGAGGGAGAAGGGGTGGGGGAAGAGGATGCCCAATCACCATTACCACAGCATCAATGCTTTTGTTATTTTTGTTATTATTGTTGTTGTAGCAACCGGCAGTCTTGTGAGTAGCCGCCTGCTACGTGACCAAATTGCGGAAACACTAAAAGTTGAAATCATATATTCCACATGGCATACCGTTGATCGCTGGGCAAACCCTACCCGCCCTGTTGCCACGTGGCCAGCGATGGATGGCAAAACAGACCAATCACACGCCACCCTGTTCCCCTGGGCAATCTGGTAGTCGCTATCCCACCCCTTTACTCTAGCATCTCACTTCTCGCTCCCCCACCCACCCTTCTGGTTTGCCGAACAGTCCATTCGACCCACCCAATCGCCCTTCCCCCCAGTCAACCCCAAAAGAGCACGAGAAGACAAGGAAGAAGGGAGTTAATGCCACAACTCTGTTTATAAGGGAGGCTGGGCCCGGTTCCCAGCAGGTGTTGCTCCCCACCAATAGATGGAGCGGCCCAACAGGGAAACCCTCAATCCTGGTGGTTCTCTCACCACCACCGGGATAGTGGGTTTTCGAAGGGTTTTTCTGAAAAAAAAAAAAAAAAAAAAAAAAAAAAAAGAAAAGAAAAGAAAGAAAGAAGGGAGGGAAAAGGGGGGGTTGGGGAAGAGGATGCCCAATCACCCTTGCCCCAGCGGCATTGCTTTTGTTGTTTTTGTTATTGTTGTTGTTGTAGCAACCGGCAGTCTTGTGAGTAGCCGCGTCCGCAAACCTTGTTGCCGTTATTTGAGACGAATTTTTTGTTACTGTTGGCGATGGTAGAGACGTTGCTGACGCTGCTGCAGATGCAAGTAGTGAAGTCAGCTCCATCGTGTTGATTGTCGTTGTCGCCGAAATCATAGTCGCACGCGCCGTCATAGATGTTTCAATCGACAGCCTCTCCTTCAATTGATCGTAGTAATCTACTCCGTCGCTGAAGATCATGTTACAATTCATTATCAGAGTGTTCGCCCGCTGCCAATCTACAAATGGCTCCAGTTCTGGATCCTCCACAATCTGCCAGAGGATAGTTGACAACTGCTGGCACTTATCCTCCAGCCATGCGGTCATGGTAGATCCCCCCCAATCCACCACCGACCCAGCCCGGGCCACGGAGGCCAAGGCTCCAACAATCTGTTGCATACGCTGCTGCGTGTCCTCCAGCTCGGCCACCCATTCCTGTGCTTGACGTTGAAGATTCTCTGATAAACCTGTCTCCTGTAGAAGCTCCACATGCGTTGTTCCCTGCGCAAGGACGCCTTGTCCACGCTGACCACGAGATGCCACCATCTCGCCTACCCCTCCACCTGCCCCTTCAGTCAATCTCGATCGCTCCCTTGCTGACTGACCTCCGAGCAGACTTCAGTGGTGAAGTCAACGTCGTCCGTCTTCCTCGGTAACTCCGAAGCGTTGGGTTCCAAGACCGCCGAACCCATCGGCCAGTTCGTTCCCCGCGCGCTCGCGCTTCTCGTCTGCCCATTATCTCTTTTTCGTAAAGATTGTCTTACAGAAATTCATTTCCTAGGTTCTTTTTTTTGTTGTTTTGTTTTGTAATTGTAAACTCCGTTCCCAGCATGTTCTGGCTTCATGGTTTTTTTTTTTTTTTTTTTTTTTTTAGTAGAGATGGCTCCAGTCTCTGCACCTGGTGGAAACGGGGTCCAGCGTCCCAATTACATGCACAGGAGCCTGTAGCAAAACAGCAGAGATGATAAGCAGAATTGATGGCCCTCATAGGAAGGGTTTGACTGTCCATCAGTAGTCGTAATGAAGTCAAACCAGAGATCTATAGCACGTATCCCCCCTGGGCCAGAGCAGTGGCCACCCCTGCCACATGTCAACAGACCTCGAAATACCACCCTGGGCAAAATACCGCCCACAGTAATCAACCCTAGCAGGATAGGGTTTTTTTTTTTTTTTTTCACCCAATAGTAGGCCCAAATTCCGCCCAATACCTTTCTCGGCCTTTATTTTATTTTTTCCCACCGAACAATGTCTTTATAAAAGCCGGGAACTGGGCCCAGTTTAAGTTTAGAAACTGCAACCGTGGGCGAGGTCCCACTAGCAACGGGATAGGATAGAAACGAGTTTGTGGGGCAGTTGAGTGACCCAAATCCTGCCGTGCACTACTCGTGATCCCACGGTCAGTATTTTACATGTATTACCCGAAAAAGTAAGGAGATATCCGTTCCCCTCCTCCTCTCCTTAACACTGGGCATGCCCGTGCAAAGACAGCTTCCCCCCAGAATCTTTTCAATCGGTTGGGGGTGTGGCCAACCCCAAACGAGGTTGGGGTAGGCCTTAGCCCACTGGATAGAAGATTTTCAGCATTTTACTTGCTGTTGCACAATTATCTCATTGGGTGGAGCCCTCCTTCAATCACGGAGTATATGGGGAGTGTCAGGATCACTGCTGCCAGAAGTCGAGTTTATTCCAGAAAATGTGGCGGTTACTTTGTTCACTGTTTTTGCAACCACCACCATCAGATCATTTGTGATCTGATGGCTGGGAAGCACTCTGCCATGATTTCCCGTGGGAGGTCTTTGTTTCTTTTTTTTTTTGGGCCTTTTTCCTGTTTTCTTAGCCCAGAAATTGGAAATGAACTTGTATCCAGCGGCCTAACTCAGTTGATAAGGCACGCAAGTGGCATTCAGGAGGTCGTGGGTTCAATCCCCGTTGGCCTCACGTATCTTCCTGGGCATGCTTGGCTCCCGCCACCTAGAGATAGACCACTGGATCCCCCCATCGGCATTGAGCAGAGGCATTGAACAGAGTCTGCTGATGTTCCTAGGGGAGGGGACCTGAGGGGAGGCACAGGGATTGGTCCTGTTGGCGTGGTCCCTGATGCTACTGGCTGACCCCTAGCCGGTATCGCCCACCTGCAGGTAGGGAGCAGCCCCTGCATGTTCTCTTGTGAGCACGGTTCTGGCTGCTACGGGGTTCCCCGTATGCTTACAATTAAATAATGAACTTGTCTGGCCGCTGCCACTCAGTGTCACACTGGATCGGCCACACTCCTATCCGACTGCTAATGGGACCTCGCCCCGTGTGACAACATTTTGACATTAATAAATTCGGAACAATAAATTAATAAACTAAAAAAAAATGCTAGAAACAGCTTTTCTCCTTATTTTTGATTAAGTAACTCGGAGAAATGAGACACGTCTGGCACAGTCGGAGTGAATGTCTCCGTGGAAAAAGGATACTTCCAGTGGTGAGGGGACAGGAGGTCACCATTCGTAAAATGGACAGGGACAACATGAATGCCCAGATGCGTTCATTGCCCAAAGAAGGAAGAGAGTCCGATGCGAGAGAGCCAAACACAGCTGTCAGAGTTCCTCCGTTTCAGGGTGTAATGATGTCTTAAAAAGCGAAAAAATGAAAGTGCAAGGAACATGAATGTGGACGAAGCACAGAAATCCAGATTGCAAAATCACACTGAAGTCCAAGTAGTCAAAGCAAGAGCAGATAGCACAATTGAACCCAGTAACCATCCATTTGAGAACGGTACAGAAGAATCGTGAGTCAATGTCCAAGCCCCATCGGGCAACACCAACAGCATAACCCAATGTAGCTCTCTCTCTTGAATGGCGCCAGGCGCCCTACCTACTTCTACAGCCTATTGCACTACAACTACAGCATGAAAGCAACCAGACAACTTGACGACCAGCGAGTGATGATGTCAACACCAATGCCGACTTCCTCTCCACCAGGTACGTCCCTCTCTTCTCCCTCACTCTCCCTTGTTATCCCACACAGCGCCCTTCACCTCCGAAGAACCACCTTCGCCCTTCACCTCCTCTGCGCCCTTCAGGCAGCCCGGCTATGGCCGCCAGCGCCCTGTGCCCAGGCAGCGCCCTTCCGCTTAGCGCTAGCCTGTCTCCCTCAGCCGCAGCGCAAGTGCCGCGCTACAATGCAGCAGCGTGCCGGCAATGCCTGCATTGGCCAAGATCCCTGCCCACTCGCCCTCCTTGCCTATATGCCAGTGTTGCATGTGGGCGGCCTCCCTTGAGCCTGCGCCTGGGCCCCAGTACCTCTACCCAGGCCCAAGGCGGTTGGGGCCCAGGAGATGCAGTTGCGCCTCTTTCATCAAAGCCTGCGGCCAGATTCAGATAGTGGACCGGTTTCTAATTGGCATTTTAGGCCTCTATATCCAGCATGCATTGTCGGCCTCACGTTTATGTGCCCAGGGCCTAACCAACTCTGGGGCCCTGGGATTTCTGCATTTGCAGAGTTCCGATACTCGCTGCACTCCAACCAACTGGCGTGCTGCAACTGTATGGACCCCACTTCGTGAAATGTTTGCACAGAGGGCTCTTGTTGATTTGCTGGCCCGCCTTCACTTACAGCAGGCACGAGGCTTGCTGGGACCTTAGCCCAGAACATGTACATCATGGCAAGGCCCCTTCTTGAGGGCTCAATCCTCACAAAAGGCACATAAGTTGAGAAATGTACCCTACCCTCCGTAGGGTAGTTTTCTCAATGGAAAATGGTTTCCCGCCCAAACGGAAAGGGCCAAAGCATACGACAAAATGGATTTCACAACAAAGAAAAAATGTACAAAACGACCAAATCTAATGGGTTATTCTCCTGTATTTCGGTATCCTTAGATTCTCAATGCATCAACGGCAGAGCTCCGTCCCACCATGCCACACGTGATAGAAAGCTCAGCGTTGAGAAAACTCAACTTCGGCCGTGGGACTTCACCCGAGGATAGGTTTTTCAAATCGTAGCCCGAAGAAAATCATCAGTTTCCCTATGGACTACATCATACAGTGCAGACAGATGCAATAGAAGCAGGAAATGCATTTCTCCGGAAAGGCATTTTGGGCCAAAACCATGAAACCCGAACATGATGGTAAAAGAGTTAAAAAAAAAAAAAAAACCTAGGAAATGAATTTTCTGTAAAACAATCTTCAAGGAAAAGAAAAACTCTGCAAAGTAGGCCCAAAAGTTGAGATACATACCCAAATGCCCAACTTAAAAGATGCGAATAGAGCAGAATGCCCCTCTGACAACTTTTGCTTTTGTCTGAAATACCCCTGGCATCGTTGAACCACCCATCTTCGGAATGTACCCCTCCATGGTACCGTCCAACTTTGCAAATTGCCCCCACATTCGCCAACTTTTTCAAAGGCCCCAGGCCTGCGCGCGAGGCCCAGATATCCACGCCAGCAGGAGAAAGCCATCTGTCTCCCATGTTTCTGGCATATTTTTTCTTTGGGGTAACTTCAGGTGAGTCACAAAAACGAGTTATAACTGCAGTATGGGGCAAGAACTGTGACTCCCGCATAGTTTCCCCTTTTCTTTTTCAAGAAACTAGAATGAGAGAAGAGGACGACAAGTGTACAGGGGAAGTGCCGGCCAATTTATCGACTTTCTCCATTAGAAGCGCGATGGATTCCGAGGGGATACTACAACGAGACGTGGCGGTATGGTTTGACATCTTGGCGGTGGCCCATCAGCAGCTCCAGGAGACGGTGGGTGAGCTGACTCAGCGATCTCAGGAGCTGCCTGCAATTGAAGGTGGTGCGTTCCCCCTGGCCGAATGGGTGGATCACCGCTCGCAACTCATGTCAGATATAATCTGGGAGCTGGAGGAGGGGCTAGATCCCCGGCTTGAACCTTACATTGATTGGCGGAGGGCGGAGGCTGAGCTGGCGGCCTGCAAAGCCCTTTTTCGCAAGGGTGGGGATGCGTGTGAATTAATGGAGGCTTGGTCCTCCGGGTTGGATGAGCGGGATGGGGGGTTGCTCACTGGAGGGTTTGTAGGGAGGATGCTCTTGACGGCCGGCGGTTTGCACGTAGCGATTGAGGAGGCAGATCCGGCAGCGCTGGCGAATTCAACATCCGCTATAATCAATAACAACAACAACAACCTGAACAACAACAACAAGTTAACAACAACAACAACAACAACAACAACAACAACAACAACAACAACAACAACAACGACAACAACAAAAACGATGACAGCATCAACAACAATAACGACAACGACTCGAGTGCAAGAGGGTGAGGAGGCAGACAGGCTGGCGAGGGTGAGGAGGCAGACGGGCCGGCGATGGCGATCGCAGACACCAGCACTAAGGACTGTGTTGTCTGCTACGGCGGCAACGTTCTATCTTCGTCAGCATGGAGGCAGCTCGGTTGGAATTGGCGGAGGTTTGGGCGAATTTCATTTTTCCACCCCGCGAGGTCAGCATGGCTTTACTTTCTTCCATGCTCCGAAGTTTGGCCTCGCGAGGGGATTGGGTGGTTGATTGCCCCCTATTGATCACAGCCGACAGGGCCTTGGCTGTCTCAGTGGGTGGGGTGAGTTATGGTTGAGGGGTTGCTAGGATTGCTGTCTTCTGAAAGTAATTTTCGACTCTCCCGATCTTACATATATGTTTG